CACACACACACACACACACACACACACACACACACATTTCCCCAACTTATCAAATTTCTAATGAGTTTTGCTTGTTTTTGTAAATGCAGAACAGGGACTCTCAAAACTTTAAAGCTGATAAGGTTATTTGATTAAGAAGAAGAATATTTGTAATAAATGTCTTGAATGATTTAGAATAAAAGGGCAAATGGGATTACCATTAAGCCTACTCAAAAGAACTTCTGATACTTTAAATTCACTGTCATTTTACATTAAAATCACATTACTCTTATTCTATAGAAAATTTTTAGCAATTCAGAAATGTCACATATCGTTTATTGGATAAAAAGCTGAAAAGCGAAGCATAAATAATGTAGCCTCAGATTAGGCTTTTTCAGAACAAAGTCACTGAAGTTAAAGACTTCTCCCATACACCTCTAACAGTGCGCCCCATCATGGCTACAGAGTATGTGAGGAAACTTCCTTCTCAGACAGCTGCTGCTGGGACCCCAGAGCCCAGAGCCCTAGGGTTATGGAGTCTCTTTAGGCACAGGGGAGGCCAACGGAGGGGAACAGAAGCAGCTAGTCTTTTTTCCATTTTTTATAACGAGCTAAAATTTGAAAACCTCCAGCTCTGCTGCCCAGCCCTCCTTTGCTTCTCTTCCTCTGGACCTTCCAGACCAGTGGTCACCAACCTTTCATACCTCATGGACCACCAGTTGGCGACCGCTATTCCAGAACACTCAGATTTACCAGATCAACTGCTGAAGAAGAGTCTAGTTTATTCACTGCACTAGTGCAGCAGCACTGTCTGCCTGGCACAGGCCACCTGCTCCCCACAGTTCACAGGACAGCTCAAGCGGGGATGCTAGCCCCACCCACTCAGCTAAACCTGGCCCCAGGTGTGGGGGGTACTAACCTGGTGCTTGGGCTATGTGCAGGAAATTCTGGAGCAAGCAGTGTGGGTGTGGCAGAAACAGAGGGTCTAGTACCAGTTATTTAGCTTCCTCTGAAAAACTAAAATATGAAGAATATTTATATTTAACTAGAGGCCTGGTGCACGAAATTCATGCACAGGGCGGGGAGGTCTTTCAGCCCGGCCTGTGCCCTCTCACAGTCCAGGAGCCCCTCGATTGATCGCCCCCTGCAGAGGGAGGCCCCGCCCACCTGCCATAGCCCACCGGTCAGTGGCCTGGGCCTCCCTCTGCAGGGCCATAATGGGGCAATGGCTCGGCCCCCGACCAATCACATCGCACCTGCCTTGGCTGGCCTGGCCCCAGTGGGTGTCATAGTGTGGTTGTCTGGAAGGTTGCTTGGCTGTCCAGTCTAATTAGTGTATTACACTTTTATTATTATAGATTATTATAGATGCTTTAAAATCAGAATTTCTTCATGATACCACTAACACTTCCAGGTTCAGCAAAAAACCGTAACTGAACAGGTAACAAAGGAGGAGCTCGTGGAAAGATCTAGTGAGGAAACTCCCCAACACAATCTACTGCAATCTAATTTGTGGAGGATTTAACTTAAAAAGCTTATTTTAAAATGTAAAAATCGAAGGATGTAAAGTAAAAAATAAAGCACTTACTATCCTGAAAATAGAATCTATAGTTATTCACATCCAATTAATAAAAGAATTGCAAAATTAGTTAAGAAAGGGAGAAAGAAAATTCTTACGAACATTAAAAACCTTCAAGGTATTTAATTGTTAATTAAACTCTACAAAAACGAAATATTCCATCGAGTGCTCCAATCACTGAGACACTACTTTAAAAAAATTAATATTGCAAGAGAAATCTGGAACCTGTAAGATGCTCTGACCCAAAGAATAACCAGAAAAAAAATGGATAAATATGAAAAGGCTGGGCTACCTTAGACCATGTGTCCCAAAGGGGTGTTGAGAATAGCCATTACATTGACTCAGGTGATATCAGGTGAGACCCAAAAAGAACTGAGCCTCAGGGCCTAGAAGGAGGCTGGAGGCCAGCGACCTGCCTTTGCTCTTCCTTCAAGCCAGGAAGCTGGACTTGGGGAGTAGGAAGGGAGCTGAGGAGTCCTGGGGGATAGGAAGGGAGCTGAGGAGTCCTGGGGATAGGAAGGGAGCTGAGGAGTCCTGGGGAGAGGAAGGGAGCTGAGGAGTCCTGGGGGAGTAGGAAGGGAGCTGAGGAGTCCTGGGGGAGTAGGAAGGGAGCTGAGGAGTCCTGGGGGAGTAGGAAGGGAGCTGAGGAGTCCTGGGGAGAGGAAGGGAGCTGAGGAGTCCTGGGGAGAGGAAGGGAGCTGAGGAGTCCTGGGGGAGAGGAAGGGAGCTGAGGAGTCCTGGGGAGAGGAAGGGAGCTGTTGAAAAACTGGGGGAGTAGGAAGGGAGCTGAGGAGTCCTGGTGAGAGGAAGGGAGCTGAGGAGTCCTGCGGGAGTAGGAAGGGAGCTGAGGCGTCCTGGGGGAGTAGGAAGGGAGCTGAGGAGTCCTGGGGGAGTAGGAAGGGAGCTGAGGAGTCCTGAGGAGAGGAAGGGAGCTCAGGACTCCTCGGGGAGACGAAGGAGCTGAGGAGTCCTGGGGAGAGGAAGGGAGCTGAGGAGTCCTGGGGGATAGGAAGGGAGCTGAGGAGTCCTGGGGAGAGGAAGGGAGCTGAGGAGTCCTGGGGAGAGGAAGGGAGCTGAGGAGTCCTGGGGATGGGAAGGGAGCTGAGGAGTCCTGGGGGAGTAGGAAGGGAGCTGAGGAGTCCTGGGGATGGGAAGGGAGCTGAGGAGTCCTGGGGAGAGGAAGGGAGCTGAGGAGTCCTGGGGAGAGGAAGGGAGCTGAGGAGTCCTGGGGGATGGGAAGGGAGCTGAGGAGTCCTGGGGATGGGAAGGGAGCTGAGGAGTCCTGGGAGGCTTCGGGGACCCACACTGGCACCTCCCGCTTCCCAGCGCGTGAAGAGGAGCTGGCCGCTGGGTTCCAGCCATCGCTGGGTCCCCCCGGCGGGTCCCCCGTCTTTCCTGGGTGATGGCCCAGAACACTCAGTGGGCAGAAGGCGCAGCGGTTCTCAACCTGTGGGTCGCGACCCCTTTGGCGGTCGAACGACCCTTTTCA